ACAGAAATTACCAAACATATAGAACAGTTCAACTGACCATACCAACTACCAACAACCGTCTCCTATAACAGGAATTACCAAACATATAGAACAGTTCAACTGACCATACCAACTACCAACAACCGTCTCCTATAACAGGAATTACCAAACATATAGAACAGTTCAACTGACCATACCAACTACCAACAACCGCCTCCTATAACAGGAATTACCAAACATATAGAACAGTTCAACTGACCATACCAACTACCAACAACAGCCTCCTATTACAGGAATTACCAAACATATAGAACAGTTCAACTGACCATACCAACTACCAACAACCGTCTCCTATAACAGGAATTACCAAACATATAGAACAGTTCAACTGACCATACCAACTACCAACAACCGTCTCCTATAACAGGAATTACCAAACATATAGAACAGTTCAACTGACCATACCAACTACCAACAACCGCTTCCTATAACAGGAATTACCAAACATATAGAACAGTTCAACTGACCATACCAACTACCAACAACAGCCTCCTATTACAGGAATTACCAAACATATAGAACAGTTCAACTGACCATACCAACTACCAACAACCGCCTCCTATAACATGAATTACCAAACATATAGAACAGTTCAACTGACCATACCAACTACCAATAACCGCCTCCTATAACATGAATTACCAAACATATAGAACAGTTCAACTGACCATACCTACTACCAACAACCAGCTCCCATAACAGGAATTACCAAACATATAGAACAGTTCAACTGACCATACCAACTACCAACAACCGCCTTCTATTACAGGAATTACCAAACATATAGAACAGTTCAACTGACCATACCAACTACCAACAACCAGCTCCCATAACAGGAATTACCAAACATATAGAACAGTTCAACTGACCATACCAACTACCAACAACCGCCTTCTATTACAGGAATTACCAAACATATAGAACAGTTCAACTGACCATACCAACTACCAACAACCGCCTCTTATAAAGGGATTACTTAAAAATTATCTGGATTTTTAATTCATTTGAACTGAACCAGGACAAATATTTGTTTTGATGTAGATAAAACCAGAAAGTCATGGATTCATATAAAACTGGGAAAAAATTATTAGGCACATAAAATTAGTTGAAAACTAGTGATGGATTTTATAAATTTTTAGAGCTCAAAAGGGGTTTTATAAAGTTTATTGAAAAGGGATTAACATAAAAAAGATCTTTTCTATAGAAAACCAAAGGATATGGGGGTATTTATCTATGACACAAAATCAGTACATGTACAGCAAAAATTCACACAAAGCAAAGGGACAGCGCTTTAATTGCCGTTCTTCATCTCAAAGTCACAGTAAGGTCTTCAATACGGATTGTGTTCTCTTAAGATATAAAGTCAACATAAAGAAGAATAACTCAAAGATAAATTCATGTATTGATGATGGATGAGTTTATTTGCAAAAAGCATATACATGCTATATGCCATTTCAATTGATATTTTATAGTGTGTCTTTCTATGTTGTGATGTTACATTATTGTTTCAGATAAGGGTGAAGGTATGGTACCATTAAAACGTTTAACCCCGCTGCAATTGTTTGCACCTGTCCTAAGTCAGGAATCTGATGTTCAGTAGTTGTCGTTTGTTGATGTGGTTCATAAGTGTTTCTCGTTTCTCGTTTTTTATATAGATTAGACCGTTGGTTTTCCCGTTTGAATGTTTTTACACTTGCTCATATTCTGTATGTTTATCCTATCTTTTAGGAAGCTATACAATATAATGTTAGGAAGATATAGCAATGAATTCATATGTTAACTTGCTTTTTCTTTTCAGCGGCAATTTACTCGGCATTTAAAGGAGGAAAATTGCAAAAATAGTAAAATTCTACAAGCCTTTAAAGAATATTTTCATTTTATTGATAATTGAATTGGATGGTATAATCTGGACATGTCATGTCACTCTGATGCCATAATAGCTCGAAAATGACATGTTTGTCAAAAACGGTATTTTACACATAGTTTTTAGACAAATTAGGGCCGCAGCCTTCAACAAAAAGACTTTTTACTTACATTGATATATTTGGATAAGACCTCGTGTAGCACAATACCTTTCAGGGTAATGTCTTGATCCTAATATAAAACCTCAAAGTAAGGCTAGCTGTCTTTGTCTGGAAATTGTATTAGTATGTCACCCGATCGACAATGTCGGGTGACATATTGCTTTTTCTCCGTTTCTTTTTTTATCATTATTATTATTATTATTCCATCTTTTTTGTCCGAGAGTTTTCTTATAGCCAATGAAACCAATCTAAATGATTGTTCACTATAACAGGGAACACCAACTTTAGAGTTGCAGTGCAACTTTGGAACTAAAAGATACCATGGAACCAAAAAAAGGTGAAAAAATATAATTTTCGAGTTTTGTGAATTATTTGAGTATGCTTAAACTTAAAATCATTAAATTTTAATACAATGTAGTTGTCCACTATATACAGGTTTTGGATGATTTTGACAATCATCGGAACTACTATGTTGCAATGGAAACGACAGCAAAATTTTCATAAAAATTAAAATGCTCCAAACTTGATGAAACTTCACAGTAATGTTGATTGGCATGAGTAGATGTGGCATTTGGCTTTGGAATTTCAAAAATGGCTGCTGTTACCATGGAAACAATGCAAAAAAGGTCAAAATGTTCTTAAAATGCTCTAAAAACCTTTCTAAAAACCTATAAGTAGCATTTCTTCTCTTAAAATGGTAGGTCAAACTCAGTGAAGCTTTGATAGTATGTTCCCTCTCAGGTACCAATGGGGCATTTGTCATTAAAATTTTGGAAATGGTCACCGTTACCATGGAAACAGCAAAAATGTGCAAAATATCAAAATGCTCCAAACTTAATGAAACTTATAAATGTTGGCTGGCAAGTGTAAATGAGACTTTTGACTTTGAAATTTCCAAAATGGCTGCCGTTTCCATGGAAACAGCAAAAATATGTAAAAATTTCAAAATGCTCCAAATGTTCTGAAAATTTAAAGAAAGATGTATAGCAATGCATATATGTGCATTCACTGTTTATAATTTTCAAAATGGCTGCCGCTTAGTGGCAATGAGGGAAGGATATTTTTTGCTTGCAATAGCAATTCTAGTTGAGGTTTGAATCCCAAATGTAAATTTGTAAAGCAAAATTAGATATACAAATTCTGATATCTGAGAGACTTTATTTGTCATTTGAAAATCTGAACGATGTTGTATAACAGATTTATAATACGTTTTAATTTTCGAATTCTGGAGGCAAAACAATGGACATTCTTCTTTGTCGTTAAATTTGTGGAATACATTTCTAAAGTCTGAAAATCACGCGATTTTTCACTATAAACTAAATGAACAAAATCCCTAGCTTACGTAAATAGAGTGATATAAAACAGATTTATGTAATGATCCTAACACTCCGCGAAACCGGAAGAAGAAACAATCCCTGATAATCTATTTGTTTTATTTTGTAACATCTTGCAGTTGTTTAGATCACTAATCTCATAATTAAGATTGAGTTATCGTTCTTTGATTGTATTTTCCGATACACAACAGACGTAATTTCCACTCTGTCAAACCTAACATCAGTTATATCGACAGAATGAGATTTGTAATGATTATTAACTTTAGACCTTCAGACAAATCATCGTACATCAAACTAATAAACTTTACACTGATTTATATGTTTTTGTTCGGACGAACAGTTCTAATAATACGATATCTGAGCTGTATAAACAACCTTTTGTAGTAGTAGATTCTTATACAGCCACAGTTCATGAGGTGACTTAAAAAACATTTTTTAACTCAATTTTCAAATAAAGAGCACATATTGCAAATTTTCCTAAGATGTTTTAAATTAGTTTTTCGAATTGTTCATTGCATGAAGATTCGTCTGTTTAAAGAGAGCAAAGACTTAAGTCGATTATAAACCAAAGTTTACGGAATCACGTTTGATCACAGATAGTGACGTGGAATCGAAATTCTTCACGTAATTAAAAAACAGTGATGGATGAAAAAAAGTCCTTATCTTAGACTGTGCATCTAAAATGTTCACAAAGAAGATGCTCTTTTAGGATTTACTACTATTGAATATAGAGAGATGCAATACTTCCTTCACTCATTCATTGCTGGGCCTCAGTTAACCCGTATGCTGTATAAAAATCAGGAAGTAGTCACGTGATAAAACAGGATGAAACTCGATTTGTGCAACCTACCAATAAGAAGAAACATTTTGAATTTGAGCAGAAAATCAGTGTGTTTTGATCATGAACAGACACTAACTGTCTAACGTTACCTGAATACATTCGTTCATTATGTAATTTTTGTGTGTACAGAATAAAATTCGACATTGATTCTTAGAAGTAAGAGAACAATAATCTGTCAATATTTTATAAAACATGGCTTTAAATAAGACAAATGATGCACTGAAGCTGGTGAAAAAAGTATATAAAAAGGAGAACATTTGTTTCACAAACGGATGAAGTGTTTTGGTTTTTGATTAAGTTATACTTGATTTTCAGTTGAAGTTCATTCGACAACTTTTGCATTTTATTTGCATTTACGGATACTCTTTAAGACAAATTATTATAGTAAATTGTTACAATGATTTATCGTTTTCTTTATTGGTTTGTTGTTGTTTGCTTCACGCCCAGTGGCAAATATTACATGCACACTCAGGATGATGTATGGCGATCTATTGTATGCGTTTTGTTAGCGACTTACCATGCGCTGTTTGGGATAAATGGTTGTTTTAAGCCATATCTGAATATTCAAAACTCATAAATCGAAGATAAACTGATAACATCCTGGCAAAAAACGAAAAGAAAAGTCCACAAAACGCTACATAGAAAACTTAAGTCTGACTAACGCGATCCCAACCAAAAACTGGAACTATTTGCCACTGCATATAAGGGCAACAACAATCAAACAATCAGATAGATAAAACGGGACTGATTTTACCCCATAAAATGGTGTGCCTGTTCTATGTCAGACTACCTGGACCATGTATGTCTGTTCCATGTCTGGCTACCTGGTCCATGTATGTCTGTTCCATGTCAGACTACCTGGACCATGTATGTCTGTTCCATGTCTGGCTACCTGGACCATGTGTGTCTGTTCCATGTCAGACTACCTGGTCCATGTGTGTCTGTTCCATGTCAGACTACCCGGACCATGTGTGTCTGTTCCATGTCAGACTACCTGGACCATGTGTGTCTGTTCCATGTCAGACTACCTGGTCCATGTGTGCCTGTTCCATGTCAGACTACCTGGTCCATGTGTGCCTGTTCCATGTCAGACTACCTGGACCATGTGTGTCTGTTCCATGTCAGACTACCTTGACCATGTGTGTCTGTTCCATGTCTGGCTACCTGGACCATGTGTGTCTGTTCCATGTCAGACAATCTGGACCATGTGTGCCTGTTCCATGTCAGACTACCTGGACCATGTGTGTCTGTTCCATGTCTGGCTACCTGGACCATGTGTGTCTGTTCCATGTCAGACTACCTGGTCCATGTGTGTCTGTTCCATGTCAGACTACCTGGTCCATGTGTGTCTGTTCCATGTCAGACTACCTGGTCCATGTGTGCCTGTTCCATGTCAGACTACCTGGACCATATGTTTTTCGTTGTTGTTTGTCTTTGTTTGTGAGTCTGCTTTTCCCCAGAAGATTCGGGTGTTGATGAGGTGTGTTGTACTGTCCAGTATTTTTTTGATATTCTTGTTATCCTTTTATGTATTATTAAAATGGATTTACAAGTTTTGAACATCTGTAAACTACACTACAGTTGCCTCTAATTGATCTCTGTCTATAAGGTAGAGTTGAATTGAAACAGAAGATGTCAAACATCTGGATACATTAGAATACCCTAAAACCTCATTTAAAAACTCATGTTCCGATAAAAGGGTCTGTACTAAGATAGGACTATGAGAAATCCTTAATCCTGTATTCGCTTATTCCTAATGTTTTGTGTGGTTTTTTTTGGCAAGTAAATGTTGTTAGTGAATTTCGACAAAGTAGATTAGTTTGACTTCAAAATTATTGACATTTACTTATAAAGTCTCACCTTTTGTCGTTTATCAGTGTATTGCTATGAAACTCACAAATAAAAAGCTAAAGAGAATATTGGTCACCGATTCTTGTTTGCTAGATCCCTCCAAAAACATCAAGACAACCCTATAAGTGCTCTGTTTCACTTATTTTTCAGTCTCAGTTAAATTAATACAGCCAATCCTTTGAAAAAAAATATCCAGCTAAACTGCACCTATATATGGCCCGATTCTTCAAAGGATAAAAACATCATCTACAAATATGTTGTTGCAGCAACTGTAAAATATCAAAAGATACAATATCTCCAATTAATTTATCTCGATCATATTAAAATAGATGTTAAAATAATAAAAAATCAAAGAGATTGATGAACTTTTATCTCTCGTGCCCATACGTCCACTTCAACATTAATTCGATAGAAACTAATCATATAAAATAGTATTACCTCGTTCATTGTCAATACTACGTTATGTCTCTTTCCTTTTATCTTATAAATTATTATTTCATTGTATTATTTTATGATCATTCTATTTGTGGGAATGTATAACTAGAGAATGAATGAATTTCATTATTAATGGCTTCGTCGTATTTCCCGGATAGATTTCACTATCAATTTTTCTGATGAGAAAATTGTCCAAGAAAATACATCTTACTCTCATGCCCATTAAATGACAATTAGAAATATTTTCAATTAATTCTGGAATTTTTATAATTGAAGAATGCGCAATAATGTATCAAGGTATCTTTTCAACTTGACAATAAACTTCCTCAGCATGAAACACAAGTTTTGGTAGAAATGCATAGCTTAGATTCTCCATGTACCGTCTGTGGATTTGGGAACGAATGCTATCTTTCGAGGTAATTTGTTTTTTTATTGTTATTTCGAAAACTGCATGATAAAAATCCACGATTTTTTTGTAGTTATCTTGCGTTTAGGGTAATGCATTCGTAGTTTTAAGATAGTAATTTTTTGTTTAAAATTATACTTTATATCAAAAGCACAAAACCAAAATAACTAAAACTTCCCATGAGTTTTGTTTTTGTGTCTAACAAATGTTTTATATATATTCGTTGTAATATAGTATCTTTTTCACAATGGCTTCCTTTGAAAAATAAAACGAACGCCATACTAGCTGTGATTCTTCATAATTCAATCTTTTAAACTGTAAACGCGTGGTTAGATGTTTTATGTATTGCACTGAGGTATCATTGACAAGTACCAACATCTCCAATGAACTTAAAAGGGCAATTGAATAGCGCAGATTCAATCTTTTTACTAATAATGTTTTCAGAGTAAACTATATAACTGTTAATATTCCCATACATTGTCTTATATTTTCAATGAAAATAGAGTTATGTTGATAACTAAATGCACAATGTATAGCATATATTTGATAACTACATGCACAATGTATAGCATATATTTGATAACTACATGCACAATGTATAGCATGTATTTGATAACTACATGCACAATGTATAGCATATATTTGCCATTTAGCTGCTATAGAATTACAATGGTCCTTATACAGATTGATTAATTGCAACATCTAGGGATCACTTCGAGACAACGACGAACCACAATACAAATCACTTAGCTTGTAAACAGACGAATACCAATATCACAATGTAGGGAACTTGGTCTTGATGGCAGGTCTTGGATTTTATCTGTTAAAGAAGGTTCTATTTTTGTGTCGTTGGTTTGCCGTCTTATTGACATATACCCCGAATTTCCTTTTATTCGGGTTCGATAATTCGTAAATCAGTAGATTAATTTATAAACAATCTACGAATAAAGTCATTATATAGAAACCGTGACTTTCAAATGTGTTTTAAAAAAAAGAGAAAACCAACCTATAATATCGATGGATGAACATCGAAGTAGATACGATACACTAACTGCATAACCAGTACAAGAAAACACGTTTTTAAAATATCAATAATAAATTTGTATAGAAATGCAATCCCGAAAAGGAAAGATTGTAGTCTTTCCTCAATCTATAAATTAGCGAATTGAATGTAAAATACCATCTTAATTTATTTAATTCATTCAGGTGGAATCGCACTTCAATGATAAATCTTTAAGGACAACGTACGATTTAGAGCTTATTTTGTAAATTGACCGAAAATAAAATAATTGGTTGACAACGTTTACAAATATGACTTAATTCAGTAATCTGTTAATTTGTGAAAAAAAAAACTAAAATCAAATTCCAGATGATTAGTATTTGTTTCGACATTTGCTATCATTTCGCGTAAAAAATTTAGCTTTAAAGAAAGTAAAGGAGGCTGGCGGTCAAACGGCAGCAAACATATATAGTTTCAAAGTTGAACTAAGTTCAACAACCCATCAATTTTATAAAATATTGAAGAAAATAAAAATCACGAATGCACACGTTTAGTATGTTTATATTTTGCCAAAAGGCTCTACACTGAAAACTGTAAAATGTATTAAACGTACTAGTTCCTGGATTGATCATGCTTCACCATGAAATAAGGTTAAATTGATGAAGGACTTTCTTCCTCATTGATTGAAAGCTATCATTTTGCATTAACCATACTATTATGGTGAAAATTAGATACACCAAATCGGGACAACGACCTCATATTTATCTTATGAGCCTGCTATCTTTGATGAGTTTATACACACAAAATTACAGATATAAGTTACAAGTAATCAAAATACTGCGTAAGCTATTTTTTAAAGGGCGAACACAATATTGTTTGCTTAGTTTCATCATACTTGATAACTTCTGCTTGTACTTCACGCATTGCGGTCACTACATTGTTTGCTTAGTTTCATCATACTTGATAACTTCTGCTTGTACTTCACGCATTGCGGTCACTACTTCATCATTTAACCTTGCTAATAACGAACGCGTTCCTATTTAAGTTCGATATGTAAACCCTGTCAATTTCAGCCTGATTTGGTCATTTTTGATTTAGTTTTATGATCAATTTCCTTTCCCCATCATTCATGTATAAATAATATTAGATTAGATTTTCCCAAGGATCGATCTATTTGTTCATTTTTGACAAGAAATCGTTTAGTATCGTGTGTCAGTTTGTTTTTGCTAAAAATAAAAAAAAAAACAACATAAGAACGGAGTATAATATTCAACATACTTAGCTTAACCTCTTCTGGCCATAATGGACAATATCATGTACTGCCATCACTAAGCGTCCGTCATCTGTTAACGGTAATATTTTCGTCTACAAGTCTAATTTTAACCAACAATTTTTAAGATATGAATAAAAGGAATAATGATATATAAGCAATGAGACAGCAAAGTAACAACCGATAAAAGGATGAAAGACATCTGGAGGTTTATCTATATATGTTCATCAATAAAAGAAAAGTGCTTATACATTAATATATAAGCTCTAACGCGTCCTTATAAATTGATCATGTATGGAAATGCTTTATTAATTTCCTATTTTGTTCTGGCAGAAACTGTTGTCCTGAATTATCAATCTAATACGCCGTTTCAGAATCTAATGCATTCTGGGTAATATTTTCAAAAGCGTACACCAAAACGCCGTGATTGGCTTACAACGTCCCGACAATTGATTTCATTTTGGGGTATGAAATTACCCATAGTCCTTTATATTATGAAAGGCGAATTCTCTTTCCTTTTAAAAAGATAAGCAAAAATATTTTGAATTATAAAACGTTATAAGGAAAATAGGAGAAGTTACAAAGGAGTCATTCAAGAACCTTAAGTCGAAGGAAGACTAACATAAATTAGGCCGTTAGTTTTCTCGTTTGAATTGTTTTACATCTGTCATTTCATGACCTTTTATGGCTGACTGTGCGGTATGGGTTTTGCTGATTGTTGGAGGCCGGGCGTTGACATATGGCTGTTAACTGCTATGCCGTTTGGTCTCTGTTTGGGAGTTGTCTCATTGGGAATTATACCACATCTTCTTATTTTAATATTGACAATACCTTTATAAGAGTGCTGATCGGGTGAACATTTTTTTAAGTATTCCCAAATCCACATATCAGATTCAATCGAAATAAAGTGTTGCAAGGGTCTTCATCATAACAATACCACAAAAACTAGAGTACTTAATTAATTATTAATGCCAGGTTCGTATGCTATTAAACGGATTTCATTCTTTATGTAATCAACTTTACATTATTTGTCATTTGAATTTTCCTGAAAAACTGATTTCGTTACCGATTGTCACAGTGACATTTTTACTGAGTTTGAATTCGCATGGCGGGTGATGCATAGCAGGAGACGCTTCGAGGCATCCGGTCTCGCTCCTTTTGGAGTTCATGAGATTATCTCAATTTTACTTGACTCTTCCTAATCGATAAACTACTGTCATCTTAATTGATTAATTCCATGATAAATAAAGTTATTTGATTAGCTAAGAAACATAAAGAATTCAAGACATTTAATCAACTTGCGCAATGCAAAGCTCACGCAATCTGGAGAAATCTACTTGGACATAGATTGGACATGCGAAATGCGCATATCTCAATAGTATTGACCGAAAAAGTTAAAACGATTTGGAATAACTTATTTCATTTTCAAAATTAGATTTCTCTACTGTCACAAGGTCGTTATTCTCTATTTCAATATAAAAAGAAGAAGATGTGGTATGATTGCCAATGATACAACTCTCCACAAGAGACCATATGACTCAGAAATTAACAACTATAGGTCACCGTACGACCTTCAACAATGAGCAAAGCCCATACCGCATAGTCAGCTATAAAAGGCCCCGAAATGACGAATGTAAAACAATTCAAACGAGAAAACTAATTTAGAGCCATGAATGTGCACATGAATATGAAAATAATATTAGTTTGCTTTTAATTTACTGATAACAAAATCAATATTAATACCAATAAAAACAATATTCAAAGATATGATTACAGTGTTTAATTGGTTACCTTTTAAAATAAGTTTATTTAAAGGATCGATTGAAGTTTACCCGAATCGTTTCTAAATTTCTGGGCTCGGTAAACAACACCTCCGTAAACATTAGGATGTGCTATCACGTTTGAAATAAGTTTTCTACAGATACAACCAAACTTCCAAACCAAATCTTTATATCTATGGAAGAATTTAGTAAAGGTCTTAAGTAATTTGTGGTAACGAAATCCCTGACTTAAATAATAATTTACCAGTAATACATAGATTACGTTCAC